GGATGGATGGAGGGAGAATGATGGATGAGTAATAGATACATGATGGATGGATGGATGGATGGATGGATGGATGGATGGATGGATGGATGGAGAAGGAGGTATGTATGTGTAGTAGATAAATGATGGATGGATGGGGGGAGAAGGATGTATATATGGGTAATAGAGAAATGATGGATGTATAAATGACAGCAGGATGGATGGTTGACACTTGATATACAAGTGATAGATAGATGTTTAACCTCTGCTCTGCTAGACAAGCTGAATGGCTGTGTTGTGACACGATGCCTGTCTCAAAGGTGTGTCCCCAACACGCAATGCCTAGCAAGCCCGGAACACGCAACGCCTAGCACCCATTGGCCCATCTCCCAGCTCGGTGCCCCGTTGTGGGACATACTCACTGCTGCTCGGCTTTGGCTCGGTCTCCGAGGAAGAAGAGGGCGGTGGCCAGGAAGAACATCCCGCCCAGGACCACCACGAAGGGGCAGAGCATGAGCGCATAGCCCAGGCTGAGGAACTCCCACAGCGCGGTCCCCTTGGTGCTCTGACGGATCAGGTCCGAAATCTGGAGAGGGGAAAGGGGGCAAGTCAGGACATTTCCAGACGCAGTCTTATTATACCCATCTCAGAAGCCAAGGTTGGGTCCCAATCCCTCGCCCACTCCAATATGTGGAGAGGAACACTCACAAATCCAATCAGGTAGGGACTCCCAGCGTCTCCCAGAAGGTGCGATGTGAAGCTCTGCAAAGCCACTGCCGTCGCCCGACGGGTAGGAATGACCACATACTGTCAAGAGGGAGAAAAAGACACAGGGAAGGGACAAAAACGTTAGAACGTTAGAGCTACGGTGTATAGCTTAGAGAGCAAAAGTGGAATGATGATGATGATAATGATGACGATGATGATGATGATGATCATCATCATATCCCTCTTATTGTTGAGATAGAGGCCTGGAACTAATCCTTTCTATCTGTACACTGCCCTCTTGTGGCGGCATCTGAGCCCTGCATATTCATCCCTACAAGCCAATAGCTAATCCTTTCTATCTATACACTGCCCTCTTGTGGTCACACCTGAGCACTGCATACATAAATACCTAGAAGCTAATAGCTAATCCTTTCTATCTATAGACTGTCCCCTTGTGGCTGCATTTGAACATTGCATTCATTCATCCTTAGAAGCTAATAGCTGATCCTGTCTATCTATACACTGCTCTCTTGTGGCTGCACCTGAGCACTGCATACATTCATCATTAGAGGCAAATAGCAAATCCTTTCTATCTGTAGTCTGCCCTTTTGTGGAGGCATCTGAGCACTGCTAATAGCTAATCCTTTCTATCTATAGACTGCCTTCTTCTGGCTGCTCCTGAGCACTGCATATAGTCATCCCTAGAGGCCTGGAGCTAATCCTTTCTATCTATATACTGCCTTCTTGAGCACTGCATACATTCATCCCTAGAGGGTAATAGCTAATCCTTTCTATCTATAGACTGTCCTCTTGTGGCTGCACCTGAGCACTGCATACATTCATCGTTAGAGGCAAATAACTAATCCTTTCTATCTATAGACTGTCCTCTTGTGGCTTCATCTGATGATTGAATTGATTCATCCCTAGAGGCTAATAGCTAATCCTTTCTATCTATAGTCTGCCCTCTTGTGATGGCACCTGAGCACTGCATATATTCATCCCTAGAAGCCTGGAGCTAATCCTTTCCTATCTATTGAGCCAAGTTTTTCTCTGCCACAAGAGGGCAGTCTATAGATAGAAAGGATTAGCTCCAGGCCTCTAGGGATGAATGTATGCAGTGCTGTGTGATATGTGTCTGCCTTCAACTCAGCTGTCAACAACACAACCAAGACCAGATGTTGTGGGCAATATCTATTCCAAGGGAAGGATCTGGCAAAGCCACTTTGTGGGGTTTTCCGAGGCCAGGAATCCTCAGAGGTGGCATTTCCTCTGACATTTGGGTTGACCCGTCTCCCATCCAAACACCAACCGAGGTCAGCCCTGCTTAGCATCCGAAGCCAGGGTATTTAGACCTATTGGAGAATGGCAAGTAGGTGAGGACTGTCAGGGTTTCATCCAAAGCCAAACCGGGAGCTCCTCAAGTCCAAGTTTGGGGACGAAGTCAATTACAGGCCTGAGCTGGCACGCCTTCGCCCCGAAACCCGAAGCCACGGGAGAGGCGCCAACGTCAACATCCACGACAAAGGATGGAAGGCTTGGAGCAGAAGGGCTGCTGACCAAGCGGAAGGAGGGGCGGAGGAGCCTCGCCCCAGTAAGTAGAGGCCCAGGGTCCGCCACTCATGGCCTCGACCCGCCACAAAACCCACGCAGGGCTATTTCCAGCAAAAGGCCCCCCGGCCCAGGACTTTTTGACGGAGTTCGGAAAAGTTGACAAGCTTGACGTTTCGAAACCCGGCACGAAATGGTGCTCTGGCCTTGCAGGAAGCCTCTAAAGGCATTGCGCACAAAACATGCATCACAGAAAAACCCAAAGGCAAAACCAGTCCAACCTTCTTTGGCCAGGGATGGAACTGGGAAGCTCCCCAAAGTTGGATTCTTTGGGTGGCCATCTGTCGAGAGGGATCGGTTGGTGTCTTCCTTTATGGCAGAACAGAATAGGACTGGATGGCCTTTGGGGGTCCCTCCACCTCTAGGATTCTATGATATGGATTTTTAGCAGAGTCCGGATGACCATCTGTTGGGTGGGATCACATTGTGTCTTCCTTATGGCAGAAGGGAAAAGGACTGGATGGCCTTTGGGGGTCTCCTCCACCTCTAGGATTCTATGATATGGATTTTTAGCAGCATCTGGATGGCCATCTGTCGGGAGGGATCGGATGGTGTCTTCGGAATAGGACTGGATGGTCTTTGGGGTTCCCTCCCAACTCTAGGTCTGGATGGTCTTTGGGGTTCCCTTCCACCTCTACGATTCTCTGATATGGAGTCCGGATGGCCATCTGTCAGGAGAGATCAGATGGTGTCTTTCTGTATGACAGAATAGGACTGGATGGACTTTGGGGGTCCCTCCCACCTCTAGGATTCTATGATATGGATTTTTAGCAGAGTCTGGATGGCCATCTGTTGGAAGGGATCAGATGTTGTCTTCCTTTATGGCAGAAGGTTGGACTGGATGGCCTTTGGGGGTCCCTTCCTCCACTAGGATTCTATGATACGGAGTCTGGATGGCCATCTGTCAGGAGAGATCAGATGGTGTCTTTCTGTATGGTAGAACATAATAGGACTGGATGGCTTTTGGGGGTCCCTTCCACCTCTAGGATTCTATGATATGGATTTTTAGCAGAGTCTGGATGAACATCTGTCGGGTGGGATCACATTGTGTCTTCCTTATGGTAGAAGGGAAAAGGACTGGATGGACTTTAGTGGTCCCTTCCACCTCTAGGATTCTATGATATGGATTTTTAGCAGCGTCTGGATGGCCATTTGTCGGGAGGGATCGGATGGTGTCTTCAGAATAGGACTGGATGGTCTTTGGGGTTCCCTCCCAACTCTAGGTCTGGATGGCCTTTGGGGTTCCCTCCCACCTCTAGGATTTTATGATATGGAGTCTGGATGGCCAACTGTCAGGAGAGATCAGATGGTGTCTTTCTGTATGGTAGAACATAATAGGACTGGATGGTATTTGGGGGTCCCTCCCACCTCTAGGATTCTATTATATGGATTTTTAGCATTTGGATTTACTCCAAATGTAAGCTGAACTAAAAAAATACTCACTGCAACATACCAAAAATTGCCCAAATGCGCTTACCATAAGGATGTCGGCAGTGATGGCCCAATTAGAAAACAAAAGCGTTTCGCCAACAAAAATGCAGACCTGCAGCAGAAACAAAGGGGTAAACATGACAGTTCGAAACCTGGATCAGGGCGAGCTCCTATGTATCTATCTATATGCATATAATTATATGCATCTATCTATCTATTTATCTGCCTCTGTATCTATATGCATCTCTCTATGTGGGGCCGGGCTTCAGCACAGCAGGTTAACCGCCATCTGCAGTAAATCTTGCCAAAGGTTGCCCGTTCGAAGCCCGGATCAGGGTGAGCTCCTATATGCATATATGCCTCTACATAGCTATACATCTATCTATCTGTTTCTGTATCTATATGCATCTCTCTATGTAGGGCCGGGCTTCAGCACAGCAGGTTATCCTACATGTGCAGTACATCTTGCCAACCGAAAGGTTGACTGTTTGAAACCCGGATAAGGGTGAGCTCCTATGTATCTATCTATATGCATATATGCATCCACCTATCTATACATCTATTGATTTATCTGTCTCTGTATCTATATGCATCTATCTATGTAGGGCTGGGCTTTAGCACAGCGGGTTAACCGCCATCTGCAGTAAATCTTTCCAACCGAAAGGATGACAGTTCAAAGCCCGGATCAGGGTGAGCTCCTATGTATCTATCTAAATGCATATATGAATCTATCTATCTATACATCTATCAATTTATCAGCCTCTGTATCTATATGCATCTCTCTATGCAAGGCCGGGCTTCAGCACAGCAGGTTAACCGCCATCTGCAGTAAATTTTGCCAACTGAAAGGTTGACAGTTCGAAGTCTGGATTAGGGTGAGCTCTTATGTCTCTATCTATATGCATATAAGCATCTGTCTATCTATACACCTATCTATTTATCTGTCTCTGTATCTATATGTATCTCTCTATATAGGGCCGGGCTTCAGCACAGTGGGTTAACTGCCATCTGCAGTAAATTTTGCCAACTGAAAGGTTGACAGTTCGAAGTCCGGATTAGGGTGAGCTCCTATGTATCTATCTATATGCATATACCTATCTATACATTTATCTATCTGTTTCTGTATCTATATGCATCTCTCTATGTAGGGCTGGGCTTCAGCACAGCGGGTTAACCGCCATCTGCAGTAAATCTTGCCAATCAAAAGGTTGACAGTTCAAAGCCTGGATCAGGGTGAGCTCCTATGTATCTATCTATATGCATCTATCTATCTATACATCTATCTATTCATCTGCCTCTGTATCTATATGCATTTCTCTATGTAGGGCCGGGCTTCAGCACAGCGGGTTAACCACCATCTCGAGTAAATCTTGCCAACTAAAAGGTTGACAGTTCGAAGCCCAGATCAGGGTGAGCTCCTATGTATCCCTCTATATGCATCCATCTATTTATATATCTATCTATTCATCTGCCTCTGTATCTATATGCATCTCTCTATGTAGGGCCGGGCTTTAGCACAGCGGGTTAACCGCCATCTGCAGTAAATTTTGCCAACTGAAAGGTTGACAGTTCGAGGTCTGGATTAGGGTGAGCTCCTATGTATCTATCTATATGCATATACCTATCTATACATCTATCTATCTGTTTCTGTATCTATATGCATCTCTCTATGTAGGGCTGGGCTGTAGCACAGCGGGTTAACCACCATCTGTAGTAAATCTTTCCAACCAAAAGATTGACAGTTCAAAGCCCAGATCAGGGTGGGCTCCTGTGTATATATCTATATGCATTTATTTGTCTATTTATCTGTCTCTGTATCTATATGCATCTCTCTATGCAGGGCCGGGCTTCAGCACAGCGGGTTAACCGCCATCTGCAGTAAATCTTGCCAACCGAAAGGTTGACAGTTCAAAGTTTGGATCAGGGTGAGCTCCTATGTATCTATCTATATGCCTATATGCATCTAACTTTCTATACATTTATCTATTTTTCTGTCTCTGAATCTATATGCATCTATCTATATAGGGCCGGGCTTCAGCACAGTGGGTTAACTACCATCTCGAGTAAATCTTGCCAACCGAAAGGTTGATAGTTCGAAGCTCGGATCAGGATGAGCTCCTATGTATCTATCTATATGCATATAAGCATCTGTCTATCTATACATCTATCTATTTATCTGTCTCTGTATCTATATGCATCTATCTATGTAGGGCCGGGCTTCAGCACAGCAGGTTATTCGTCAGCTGCGGTATATCTTGCCAAACATTGAATGCAACACGAGACCAACGTTTGCAAGGGTTGGGATACATACGTAGGCACCCACGATGCTGCTCTTGGCTGCCACGAAGATGAGGCAGGTGAAGATGGCGGAGCCCAGCATCCCCACGGCACAGACGAGGGGGTCGGCCCGCTGGGTCTTCCCCCGACACCACTTGGTGGCCCCGGCCCCCGTGATCACGCCCAGGAAGCCCGTGAAGCAGGTGATGGCCCCGAAGATCAGGCTGAAACCACAGGACCAACCCAAAAGAATCAGATAACATATATACGCAGGCCGTCCCTGAGTTAGAGACACCTGGGATTCTAAGGCAGGTAAGGGAAAGTGGGGCTGGGGGGGGGGGTCTCCTCACCTGTCTCTGGTGCCGCAGGGCTGGGCGGAGCAGGTCTCGGCCGTCTTCTGGACCACTTGGGCCCGGTGGAGGTAGAGCGGGATCCACATGCCCAGGGCGCCCGTGGCAAAGGAGACGGCGGAGGTGGCCAAGGAGGAGAAGACGTAGCTGCGGCTGGAGAGAGAAGGAGGAGGAGGGCACGGTCAGAAGAGGAAGAGAAGGAAGGAAAAGAAAAAGGAAAGGGAAATAATAGATAAATTGGTGAATAGATGGGTGGAGAGAGAGAGAGAGAGATAGGAGTTGGTTGATTGGATGGATGGATGGATGGATGGATGGATGGATGGAGAGATGGGTGGATACATCAATGGGGGATAGATCAATGGAGGGTTGGGCAGAGGGATAGGCAGATAAATAGACAAATAGATGGAAAGATAGAGTGAAAAATTAATGAAGGGGTGGAGGGATAGATAGACATTTGGGAGAATAGATGGAGGAATGGATAGATGGTTGGGTGGATGGATAGATGGAAGAATAGATAGATGGAGGGATGGAGAGATAAATCAATAGATAGATAGATAGATAGATAGATAGATAGATAGATAGATAGAGGGATAGCGGGATAGAAGGATAGATAGAGAGATGGAGAGATAAATTGATAGATAGATGGATGGATGGATGGATGGATGGATGGATGGATGGATGGGTGGATGGATGGAGGAAGGGAAGGAAGGAAGAATAGATAGATAGATCGATAGATAGATGGATGGCAGGATGGAGAGACAAATGAATAGATAGATAGATAGATAGATAGATAGATAGATAGATAGATAGATGGATGGCAGGCAGGCAGGCAGGCAGGACGGAGAGATAGATAGATAGATAGATAGATAGATAGATAGATAGATAGATGGATGGATGGATGGATGGATGGATGGATGGATGGATGGATGGATGGATGGATGGAAGGAAGGAAGGAAGGATAGATAGATAGATAGATAGATGGCGGGATGGAGAGATAAATGGATGGATGGATGGATGGATGGATGGATGGATGGATGGATGGATGGGAGGGAGGGAGGGAGGGCGGGAGGAAGGGAAGGAAGGAAGGAAGGAAGGAAGGAAGGAAGGAAGGAAGGAAGGAAGGAAGGAAGGAAGGATGGATAGATAGATAGATAGATAGATAGATAGATAGATAGATAGATAGATAGATAGATAGATGGCGGGATGGAGAGATAAACGAATAGATAGATAGATAGATAGATAGATAGATAGATAGATAGATAGAGGAATAGAGGGATAGATGGAAGAAATAAAAAGGAGAGGAAAGGAAAGGGGAAAAGGAGAGGATAAGAAAGAAAAAGGAAAGAAGAAAGGACGGGGAAATGGTCAGAGGGGAGGGAAGGAAAAGAAGGGCAGAGATAGAAAGGAAATAAAGAAGTGATGGGTGAAGCAAGAAAAAAGGAGGGAAGGAGAAAGCAGGACGAGAAAGGAGAGATGGGGAAGAAAGCAAAAGGAGGGAGGGGGAAGGAATGGAAAGGAGTAAGGGAAGAAAGAGAAAGAAGGGGAGGGGAGGGCGCCTCACTTGCGGACGAGGGCCTTCATGTCTCTCAGCCAGGAGGTCCGGGCCTTGAGCTGGGCCCCCAAGGGCTCCACCGTGCCCCGTTTGGCCGCTGGGACGAAGATCAAGATCAAGGTGCCAGTGATGACGCCGAGGAGGGGAGAGACCTGGAAAAGAGTCGAGGCATTCCCACAAGTTATCAGACTCCCATTTGGAACAAGCTCCTAGTTCTCACGGGTCTGGATGGAACAGAGGCTGGGTGGCCATCTGTCGGGAGGGATCAAATTCAGTCTCCCTTCATGGCAGAAATGGGGTTGAATGGATGGCCTTTGAGGTCCTTTCCATCTCAAGGATTCTCTCATTCTATGACATTGATTTTAGCAGGGGTTGGAAGGTCATCTGTTGGGAGGGATCGGATGGGGTCTCTCTTGCGAGGTTATGCTTGATGGCCTTTGGGGTCCCTTCCATCTCAAGGATTCCATGATTCTAGAGCAGGCTCGGATTTCTCCCCAAGGCCACCCAAACTCTTTATCGTTTTCCGGTTTATGGAAGATCCTTGTCAGTCCCGGAAAGCCAAGGCCCTCGCCTGAATTCAACCCTTCACTGTCGCTGAAAGGCAGCCAAAGGGATCTTCCTGTTTTGGAAGAGGGAACGAGACCCTTGGCCTCCCCCCCCCCCCCCCCAGACGGAGGAATGGGAACACAATGCCTTTGCTCGGGAAAAATGTCCAGGAGGAAGCCCCAGCCGGGAAACTGTTTCCTGGCCTTTTGCCCCAACGAGTGGGATCCTGGTCAAAGGAGGGAAGGAAGGCAAGGCCAGCACTCTCGGCCAGGACCCAATGAGATGGAGGGATGGAGGGATAGATAGATAGATAGATAGATAGATAGATAGATAGATAGATAGATAGATGATAGAGAGATAGATAGATTCATATAGATATAGATATAGATAGATAGATAGATAGATAGATAGATAGATAGATAGATAGAGATAGATAGATAGATAGATGGATGGAAGGAAGGATGGATGGATGGATGGATGGATGGATGGATGGATGGATGGATGGATGGAGAGATACATCAATGACGGATAGATAGGTGGAGGGTTGGATGGAAGGGTAGACAGATAGATAGAAGGAGGGATAGATCCACACAGTGATAGATTAATGGAGGGCTGGAGAGATAGATAGATAGATAGATAGATGATAGATAGATAGATAGATAGATAGATAGATAGATAGATAGATGATAGATAGATGATAGATGATAGATGATAGATAGATAGATAGATAGATAGATAGATAGATAGATAGATAGATAGATAGATGATAGATAGATAGTGTAGATAGAGACGGATGGACAGACAGACAGACAGAAGAATAGATGGAGGGATGGATAGATGGAGTGATAGGTAAATGGAGGGATGGAAGGATAGATAAAGGGACAGACAGGTGGATAGATAGATAGATAGATAGATAGATAGATAGATAGATAGATAGATAGATAGATAGATAGATAGATAGATAGAAAGATAGATAGTAGGATAGATGGGTGGAGGGAGGGATAGATGAAAGGATGGATGGATGGATGAATGGATGGATGGAGAGATACATCAATGACGGATAGATAGGTGGAGGGTTGGATAGAAGGATAGATAGACGGAAGGATAGACAGATGGATAGAAGGAGGGATAGATCCACAGAGTGATAGATTAATGGAGGGCTGGAGAGATAGGTGGATGGATGGATGGATAGATGGATGGATGGATGGATGGATGGATAGATAGATAGATAGATAGATAGATAGATAGATAGATGATAGATAGGTGGATGGACAGATGGACGGACGGACAGACAGACAGAAGAATAGATGGAGGGATGGATAGATAGAGTGATAGGTAAATGGAGGGATGGAAGGATAGATGGATAAAGGGACAGGCAGATGGACAGACAGGTGGATAGATAGACAGATAGATAGAGATAGATCAATGGAGAGAAGGATGGAAGGATAGATAGATAGATAGATAGATAGATAGATAGATAGATAGATAGATGGATAGATGGATAGATGGGTGGAGGGAGGGATAGATGAAAGGATGGATGGATGGATGGATGGATGGATGGAGAGAAACATCAATGAGGGATAGATAGGTGGAGGGTTGGATAGAAGGATAGATAGACAGATGGAAGGATAGACAGATGGATAGAAGGATAGATCCACAGAATGATAGATTAATGGAGGGCTGGAGAGATAGATGGATGGATAGATAGATAGATATAGATAGATGATAGATGTTAGATAGATGGGTGGATGGACAGACAGTAGATGGACGGATGGATAGATGGAGTGATAGGTAAATGGAGGGATGGAAGGATAGATGGATAGATAAAGGGACAGACAGATGGGCAGACAGTTGGATAGATGGATAAATCAATGGAGAGATGGATGGATGGATGGATGGATGGATGGATGGATGGATAGATAGAGGGATAGAGGTATAAATGGAAGGATAGATAAATAGAGGAATAAATCGATGGAAGGAGGGATGGAGGGATGGATAGAAAGACGGAGTGACGGGCACACAGACAGATAGATAGAGGGATAGATGGAAGGATAGATGGATAAATAGATGAATAGACAGAAAGAAAGAAAGAAAGAAAGAAAGAAAGAAAGAAAGATGGATAGATGGTGGGATAGATGGATGAATAGATGAATAGAGAGAAAAATAGGTAGGTAGGTAGATAGGTAGATAGATCGATGGATGGATGGATGGATGGATGGAGGGATAGATGGAGGGATGGATGGAGGGATGGATGAATAGATGAATAGAGAGACAGACGCTCAGGTTTTGGAATTTCTCCTTTATACAGCTGTTTATAAATAGAGTGTTGTTGTTGTTGCTGTGATTCAAGAGGAGTTCAACTCACCCGGAGGGCCCAATGCCAGTCCCCAGCCAATTGCTTGACACTCGAGCCGGTGATGTATCCTAAACCACTGGAAAACAAGGGGGGGGGGGGATAACTCAATTAAAAATACAAACAAAAAGCAGTATCGACCTTGCATGGACCCGAATGAGTCACCAAATTGCTAGAATTGTGCATTTCTTAGGGGGAGGTTGGATGGCCATCTGCCAGGAGGGATCAGAGGGCGTCTTTAGGGTCCCTTCCATCTCTATGATTCTATTGCTATGGATGGCCATCTGTCGGGAGGGATTAAATTGTGTCTTCTGGAAAAAAGGTTGCACTGGATGGCCTTTGGAGTCCCTCTCAACTTGAGGATTCAATTGATTTTAGCAGAGGATGGATGGCCATCTGTCATGAGGGATCGGATGGTGGCTCACGTGGCAGAAATGGGGTTGGACTGGATGGCCTTTGGGGTGCCTTCCATCAATGCTTTGGATTTCCCCCCAAAGGCAACTGGAATGCTTTCAAGCCTTTGTCTGGAGGTTGGAGGTCCCGGGCCCGGGCCGCTTCTCCATTGTAGATGCTTTGGAAACAGGAAACGGCATTGGCGCGCAGGAAATGGCATTGAGAAGGAAGGCAGGGGATTCCTCCCCTCCGCACACAATGCGCGCAAATGCGCCGGGCTGATAAGGGAACTCAGATAACGCAGCCAAGGAAGCGGCTGCCGGTCAAAAAGAGCCCGGTCTTCACATCCCAGCCTAGGTTCCTTCTCTACACTGTCTGATGCACTATGATGCAGGAAGACACAATCAAAACCCTCCTGACAGATGGCCACCCAGCCTCAGCTCAAAAAAATATCTAGAGAAGGGGATTCTGTTGGAAGACCTGCCCCCCCCCCACTCCCGAGGGCATCTAGTCCAAACCCTTTCAGCCAGGAAGGAGGACACAATCTGATCCTTCCTGACAGATGGCCAGGAAGATTAGAGTATATTGCAATAGTTTATCATATTATAATAGTATATCATATTATATAATATAATAATAATATTATATTATTGTCTTATTTTAATTATATAATAATATGATATATATTATACTATAATATTAATGATGATAATATAATATTATTATATTACAATATCATTGTACTGTGTATATATATATATATATATATGATTATTTCAATTATAATATTATAATATTACAATATCATTGTACTGTATGTATGTATGTGTGTGTGTGTATATATATATATATAATTATATTATATGATTATTTTAATTATATAATAATATGATATATATTATAATGTAATATTAATGATTATAATATAATATTAATTAGTATAACAATAGTATTATAATCATTTATATTATTATATTACAATATCATGGTACTGTATATATGTGTATATAGAGACAATTATATTATATGATTATTTTAATTATATAATAATATGATATATATTATAATATAATATTATTATATTACAATATCATTGTACTGTAAATGTGTGTATATATATAATTATATGATTATCTTATTTTACTTATATAATTATATGATATAGATATATAAATATAATATTATTTTTATAATACAATGTCACATTATATTACATTTTATCATAATATAATATTATTATATTACAATATCATTGTAGTGTATTACAATTTAATTATATAATTGTATGATATGTATATATTATAATATTAATTTTTATAATATAATGTCGTATTATATTATATTACATTATATCATAATATAATATATTATTATTATATTACAATATCATTGTAGTGTATTGTAATTTAATTATATAATTGTATGATATATATATTATAATATTAATGATGATAATATGTCATATATTATATTACATTATATTGTGATATAATATAATATTATTATATTACAACATCATTGTATTGTGTATATATATATGTATAATGTACTGTATATATGTATATATATCATATATTACCTTATTTTAATTATATAATATAATTATATTATATATATTATATTAATATAATAATGATGATGATAATGTAATGTCATATTATATTACATTACATTATATCGCAATATAATATAATATTATTATATTACAATATCACTGTATAGTATTGTATTTTGGAAGCAGCAGGGTGGACGAACCCAGCGGCCGCCCAAGGCCAAGATCGGGCGCTCTGTACCTGCCCAGAGGAATGGCGAAATAGAAGACGGACAGCATGAGGGTCCGGGTGTTTTTGGTGAAGAGGTCGCCGATGATGGTGGGCGCGATGGTGGAGTAGCTGGCCTCGCCGATGCCCACCAAGCCCCGCGAGAGGACAAACAGCCAGAAATACTGCGGGGAGGAAGCACAGTTAGCATACGGGTAGTATCCTCCAACTTGCTTTTCTTCCCTCCCCATTCTTCTTTCCTTCCTTCTTTTCTTCCCTCCTTTTCCCTTCTCCTTCTCTCCTTCCTCTCTTTCGTTCTTTCCTTCCTCCCTTCCCATCATGTCCTTTTACTTGCAGAGACATCACGGGAGTGGGGGCTTGGGGAGGGGGTGGTCACTTCACCCCATAACAGCCAACCCAAGGGGCCACTTCACCCCATAACAGCCAACCCAGAAGGCCACTTCGCAACCTTGGCAGTACACATGGGCAAATACACATGGATGGATGGACGGATGGATGAATAGATAGATAGATAGACAAATAGACAGACAGACACATACATACATGGAGATAGGCACAGATGGATGAATGAACAGATAGGCACACACACACACACACACGTACATGGAGATGGACACATGGACAGATTGAGAAATAGGCAAATAGATAAATAGACAGATAGATAGATATAGATAGAGAGAGAGATGATAGATAGATAGATAGATAGATCAGTAGATAGATAGATCGATAGGTAGATAGATAGATAGATAGATAGGTAGATAGATAGACAAAAAAAGGTCAATCAATACATGCATAGATAGATCGGTAGGTAGATACGTAGATAGGTAGGTAGGTAGGTAGGTAGATAGGTAGGTAGGTAGATCAATAGGTACATAGGTAGATTGGTAGGTAGGTAGGTAGATAGGTTTATCAATAGATCGATAGGTAGGTAGGTAGATAGGTAGGTAGGTAGATAGATAGGTAGATAGATAGATACATAGATACATAGATCGGTAGGTAGATAGATAGGTAGGTAGATAGGTAGGTAGATAGATAGGTAGATAGATAGATCAGTAGGTATTTATTTATTTTATTTATTTATTTACTATTCTTGTATACCGCTGTATCTCAAGCCCGAGGGCGACTCACAGCGGTAGATAGATAGATAGATAGATAGATAGGTAGGTAGGTAGGTAGGTAGGTAGGTAGGTAGGTAGGTAGATCGACAGGTACATAGATAGATCGGTAGGTAGGTAGGTAGATAAGTAGATAGATCAATAATTACATAATTAGTTCGGTAGGTAGGTAGGTAGGTAGGTTGATCGATAGATCAATAGTTAGGTAGGTGTGTAGATCGATAGGTAGGTAGGTAGGTAGATATATAGATAGATACATAGATAGATCGGTAGGTAGATAGGTAGATAGATAGATAGATACATAGATACATAGATACATAGATAGATCGGTAGGTAGGTAGGTAGGTAGATAGATAAATAGATAGATACATAGATATATAGATACATAGATAGATCGGTAGGTAGATAGATAGATAGATAGATAGATCAATCGATAGATCGATAGGTAGATAGGTAGGTAGGTAGATAGATAGATACATAGATAGATCGGTAGGTAGGTAGATAGATAGATAGATAGATAGATAGATAGACAGGTCAATCGATAGATCGATAGGTAGATAGATAGGTAGATCGACAGGTACATCGACAGATCGGTAGGTAGGTAGATAGGTAGATAGATCAATAGTTACAGAATTAGTTCGGTAGGTAGGTAGGTAGGTAGGTAGGTAGGTAGGTAGATAGGTTGATTGATAGATCGATAGGTAGGTAGGTGTGTAGATAGATAGGTAGGTAGGTAGATAGGTAGGTAGGTAGATAGATAGATAGGTACATACATACATAGATAGATCGGTAGGTAGATAGATAGATAGATAGATAGATAGATAGATAGATAGATAGACAGACAAGTAGACAGATTGATAGGTACATAGATAGAGCGGTAGGTAGGTAGATAGGTAGATAGATAGATAGGTCGATCAATGGATGGATAGGTAGGTAGGTGTGTAGATAGGTAGGTAGGTAGGTGGGTAGATAGATAGATAGATAGATAGATAGATAGATAGATAGATAGATAGATCGGTAGGTAGGTAGATAGATAGATTGATAGGTAGACAGACAGATAGGTCAGTCGGTCAATCGATAGATCGATAGGTCAGTCAATCGATAGATAGGTTGGTCTGTTGATCAATTGATAGATCAATCAATAGATCGATTGATAGGTAGGTAGGTAGATAGATCGATCGATAGATAGACAGAAATTAGTGTGTGTATGTGTTTGTGTTTATATGTATGCACATAGATAGACAGATAGAGACGTATATAGAGATACCGGGATGCAGTGGGAGGGCTAAGGCCCACACCCCCTCCCCGCCCTCTTTCTGGGCTGCCTGGTGGTGCTTCCTGCCAAGGGGGTAATCCACCCTTTAAGGGGGCCAAATATGTCCCAGCTCTGAAATTACGGGACCAAAAGAGAGAGAATTGCGCCAGTGTTCTCCGAGAGCGATCCCGCCCTAATCTGCCCAAGTATGCCGAAAGCCCATGATCCTTAAATCCTGGGTCGTGGAGCCTTGGAAGGCGCATGTGACGGGAACGAGGCGGGAGAGGAGTTCGGGGGACCTCTAGTCATGCGCAGCCACGTCTTCATTGGTGTGTTTCCCCCTCTGTATTTTTCCCCAGTCTTGGGTCAAGTCACACTCTCTCAGCCCCAGAAAAGCCTGTCTTAGGTCCACCATAAATTGGGAATAGGCATCTAGACTGTAGAATTAATAAAGTTGGAGGCCCCTTGAACTGCCATGGCATCAATTATCAATTTATATCATCTATCTATCTATCTATCTATCTATCTATCTATCTATCTATCTATCTATCTATCTATCTATCTACACCTCATCAATTTCATCTTCCTCTATCTTATCTATTTTTATCTATTTATCAATTTTTATTATCTATCTATCCATCTATCATCTATCTTTTTATCTATTTATCAATTTATATCCTTTATCTAACTATAATATATCTATTTATCTATCACATATCTATTTATCTTCTATCTGTCATCTTATCTGTCTCTCATCTTATCTATCTCTCTCTCTTATCTATTTATCCATCATCTATCTATCTATCTATCTATCTATCTATCTATCTATCTATCTATCCATCTATCATCTATTTATCTATTTTTATCTATTTATTTATCAATTTATATCATCTATCTATCACCTATTTATCTTTCACTCATCTGTCTATCTATTTATCTCTTGCTCACCTATCTATCTCTCATCTTATCTAACTCTTCTATCTATCTATCTATCTATCTATCCATCTATCATCTATTTATCTATTTTATCTATCAATTTATATAATCTATCTATCATCTATCTATCACTCATCTGTCTATCTATCTCTCATCTACCTATCTCTCATCTATCAATCTATTTATCTATTGCTCATCTATCTCTCATCTTATCTATTTATCTATCATCTATCTATCTATCTATCCATCCATCCATCCATCCTCTATTTATCTATCTAGTTATCAATTTATATCATCTATCTATCTATCTATCTATCTATCTATCTATCTATCTATCATCTATTTATCTATCACTCATCTGTCTATCTATCTCTTGTCTATCTCTCATCTATCAATCTATATATCTATTGCTCATCTATCTATCTCTCATCTTATCTATTTATCTATCATCTATCTATCTATCCATCCATCATCTATTTATTTATCTATTTATCAATTTATATCGTCTATCTATCTATCTATCTATCTATCTATCTATCTATCTATCTATCTATCTCTCTATCATCTATTTATCTATCTCACATCTATCTCTCATCTATCAATCTATTTATATATTGCTCATCTATCTGTCTCTCATCTTATCTCTCTTATCTATTTATCTATCATCTATCTATCTAGCCATCTATCATCTATTTATCTATTTTTATCTATCTATTTATCAATTTATATAATCTATCTTTCATCTATTTATCACTCATCTGTCTATCTATCTTTCTATCTATGTATCTATCTACGTATCTATCTATGTATCTATCTCACATTATCTCTCATCTACCTATCTCTCATCTATCAATCTATCTATCTATTGCTCATCTATCTATCTCTCATCCTATCTATCTATTTCTCATCTATATCTAGCTCTCTCTCTTATCAAACTATTAAATGTCAATAGGTAAAGGTAGGTAAATGTTCTCCCATGACATTAAGTCCAGTCATGTCCAACTCTGGGACTGTGGTGCTCATCTCCATTTCTAAGCCGAAGAGCCGGCATTGTCCCTAGACACCTCCAAGGTCATGTGGCTGGCATGACTGCATGGAGTGCCCTTACCTTCTCACCTATTGATCTAATCACATTTGCATGTTTTCGAACTGCTAGGTTGGCAGAAGCTGGGGCTGACAGCAGGAGCTCATGCCACTCCCAGATTCGAACCTGCGACCTTTCGGCCAACAAGTTCAGCAACTCAGCGGTTTAACTCGCTGCATCATGGGGGGCTCCCATCAATGTCAATGCAGCCTCATTATTATTATTGTTATTGTCGTCACTGTTATTATTATTATTATTCCACAGTGTCAATGCAGCCCAATAATAATAATTGTTGTTGTTGTTGTTGTTAACCATTATTATTGGGCTGCATTTACACACAATAATAATAATAATAATAATAATAATAATAATAATAATAAATTCCTGAAATTCCTGAAAGCCATCCTTGAAACCGCCTTCTTTCCACATGTATTTGTGTTTAAAGGAAACTCTTTGTGCGTTTCCTCTTTCTCGTGTCGCCAGGGAGAAGCCGTGAATGTGCGAGCAATGGGCAGGAAACCTGACGGCGAGGCTTTGCATTCCTTCCCCGGCCTGTGAACATGTCAACTTTGTCCTTTATGGCTTTGGCTCATTGTTGTCGTTGGGAACTTTTGGCAGGGAGCAAGGCGGCTTTTTTCCTGGAATTTCTAAAGTAGGGCCTCGGCTTCCAGAACGGATGTCGTTTGCCGTGGGATTTTCCAGGGCCGGTTTTATGGCTTAATGTGGGTTTCCTTGGCTACTTCCAAGGCCGAGGTGCAGCCTAGAATCACATTATTATTACTATTAATAATAATAATAATAATAATAATAATTAATTTCTTATTCCTTTTGAGGTCCGATTATAGTTTTTGACTTCCCTCGATTTTGACACTATGCTCTTATGGATGCAACCTAGAATCACATTATTATTATTATTATTATTATTATTATTATTATTATTATTATTACTATTATTGATATTTATACATTATTATTACTATTATTATATTCAAGTTGAGGTATGACCATAATTTTTGACTTCCCTCGATTTCGACACTGTGCTCTTATGGATGCAGCCTAGCATCACATTATTATTATTATTACTATTATTATTGATATTAATGCATTATTATTATTACTATTATTATATTCCAGTTGAGGTATGACCATAGTGTTTGACTTCCCTCGATTCTGACATTATGCTCTTATGGATGCAACCGAGAATCACATTATTATTATTATTATTATTATTATTATTATTATTATTAATAATAATAATAATAATAATAATACATTAATATTCTCACAACCTCTGAGGATGCTTGCCATAGATGCAGGAGAAACGTCAGGAGAGAATGCCACTAGAACATGGCCATATAGCCCAAAAAAAACCTACAATAACCCAGTTAATACAGAATCACATTATTATTATTAATATTAATATTAATACATTAATATACTCACAACCTCTGAGGATGAGTGCCATAGATGCAGGCGAAATGTCAGGAGAGAATGCCACTAGAACATGGCCATATAGCCCGAAAAAACTACAATAACCCAGTTAATACATTATTACTACTATTATTAATTTCATATTAATATATTATATTAATTTATATTAATTAATAAAACTTTCATACAGAGTTGGAAAGGACTCCAAAGGCTATCCAGTCCAATGTCCGATCCCTCCTGACAGATGCCTATCCAGCTTATATCGTCTCCCAATTCTATATGAAGATGATATAAGCTGGATGGGCATCTGTCAGGAGGGATCGGATTGTGCCTTTCCACCAGACAAAAGGGGGTTGGACTGGATGGCCTTTGGGGTCCCTTCCAACTCTATATGAAGGTGATATAGGCTGGATGGGCATCAGTTGGGAGGGATTGGATTGTGCCTTTCCACCAGGCAAAAGGGGGCTGGATTGGATGGCCTTTGGAGTCCCTTTCAACTCTATATGAAGATGATATAAGCTGGATGGGCATCTATCGGGAGGGATCAGATTGTGCCTTCCTGCCAGGCAAAAGGGGGTTGGACTGGATGGCCTTTGGAGTCCCTTCCAACTCTATATGAAGATGAGATAAGCTGGATGGGCATCTGTCGGGAGGGATCGGTTTGTACCTTCCTGCCAGGCAAAAGGAGGTTGGACTGGATAGCCTTTGGGGTCCCTTCCAACTCTATGTGAAGATGATATAAGCTGGATGGGCATCTGTCGGGAGGGATCAGATTGTGTCTTCCTGCCAAGCAAAAGGGGGCTGGACTGGATGGCCTTTGGGGTCCCTTCCAACTCTATATGAAGATGATATAAGCTGGATGGGCATCTGTTGGGAGGGATTGGATTGTGCCTTTCCACCAGACAAAAGGGTGTTGGACTGGATGGCCTTTCGGGTCCCTTCCAACTCTATATGAAGGTGATATAAGCTGGATGGGCATCTGTCGGGAGGGATCGGATTGTGCATTCCTGCCAGGCAAAAGGGGGTTGGACTGGATGCCCTTTGGGGTCCCTTCCAACTCTATATGAAGATGATATAACCCCCCTTTTGCCTGGGGGAAAGGCACAATTCGATCTCTTCCGACAGATGCCCATCCAGCTCACCACAAAAACAATGCCATTTAAACCCTCCAACGTACGAAGATTAAAATAGAATTAAAGAGGCGGAAAAAAGATGTAAACACACAAATGGGGTTGCTTTTCTCATTGCAAAAAGAAAAAGTGTATCTTTCCAAATTGCAAAAGGAAAAGTGTTTATTTTCACATTGCAAAAGGAAAACTATGTTTTCCAATTGCGTTTTCATTGCAAAAGGTAAACTGTATCTTTTCACATTGCAAAAGGAAAACGGTATATTTTCTAATTGCTTTCTCATTGCAAAAGGTAAACTGTATCTTTTCCAATTGCAAAAGGAAAAGTGTATATTTTTACATTGCAAAAGGAAGAGGTTTGCATTTTTCCACGCAGCCCTTGATTGCGTGGCCTTCTTTTTCCATCCCCTTCAGCCTATATTTCCTGGCTCTTCTTCCGCCACTGCCTTTGATTGTAGTGTCACATTTTGTGCTGCAATCCCAACAGAGCGAGAAGGAAACTCAGCCCTGTCCCTTTCCTACAACCCGGGCAGGGAACTGATTGGGCCATTTGGGAGTTGTAGTTGCTGGGATTTATAGTTCACCTCCAATCCAAGAGCATTCTGAACTCCACCAACGATGGAATTGAACCAAGCTTTGCACACAGAACTCCCATGACCAAGAGAAAATACTGGAAGGGTTTGGCGGGCATTGACCTTGAGTTTGGGAGCAATGTGGACGCAAACAACGATGGATCTGGACCAAACTTGGCATGCATAGATAGGTAGATAGATAGATAGATAGGTAGGTAGGTAGATAGGTAGGTAGATAGGTAGGTAAATAGATAGATATAGATAGATAGACAGATAGATAGCTAAATAGGTAGATATAGATAGGTAGGTAGGTAGATACATAGGTAGGTAGGTAGATAAGTAGATAGATACATAGGTAGGTAAGTAGGTAGGTAGATACATAGGTAGGTAGATAGGTAGATAGGTAGGTAGGTAAATAGACAGATAGAAAGGTAAATAGATAGATATAGATAGGTAGGTAGGTAGATACATAGGTAGGTAGATAGGTAGATAGATATGCACACAGGTAGGTAGATATAGATAGGTAGGTAGGTAGGCAGGTAGGTAGGTAGGTAAGTAGGTACGTAGATAGATAGGTAGGTAGATAGATATAGATATCTAGGTAGGTAGATAGCTACAGAGGTAGGTAGTTAGATAGATAGGTAGGTAGATAGGTAGGTAGATATGTACACAGGTAGGTAGGTAGGTAGGTCAGTAGATAGCTAGATATATAGGTAGGTAGGTAGGTAGGTAGGTAGGTAGGTAGATGGATGGATGGATAGATAGATAGATAGATAGATAGATAGGTAGATAGATAGATAGATAGATAGATAGATAGATAGATAGATATGCACACAGGTAGGTAGATAGATAGATATGTAGGTAGACAGACAGACAGACAGACAGAAATGTAGGTAGGTAGGTAGGTAGTTAGACAGATAGATAGGTAGGTAGGTAGGCAGGTAGGAAGGTAGATAGGTAGGTAGGAAGGAAGGATCTGGACCAAACAATGATGGATCTGGACCAAACTTGGCACGGATACTCAATATGCCTAGATGTGAACATTGGTGGAGTTTTGGGAAAATAGGCCTTGGCATTTGGGAGTTGTAGTTTCTGGGATTTATCCAATCAAACAGCATTCTGAATTCTACCAACGAGTTGAACCAGACTTGGAACACAGAACTCTCACAACCAGTAGGAAGTACTGGGCGGGTTTGGTGGGCATTGACCTTGAGTTTGGGAGTTGTAGTTCACCTACATCCAGAGAGCACTGTGGACTCAAACAATGATGGATCTGGACCAAACTTGGCATGGATACTCAGTGTGCCCAAACTTGAACACTGGTGGAGTTTGGGGAAAATAGACCTTGACATTTGGGAGTTGTAGTTGCTGGGATTTATAGTTTACCTACAATCAAAGAGCATTCTGAACCCCAACCCCACCAATGATAGAATTGGGCTGGAGAACTAAGTGAGTAATGAATACATCTGTCATGGCTTTGGCGGGAGGGCTAGCGGCAAAGGCCTCTTTCCTTTGTGAAATCCGCAAAAGCGCTCACCTCTTGCGTGATGAAGGAGCTGGAGAAGGTGATGACCGACCAGAAGAAGATCCCGCAGCTGAGGATCACCTTCCGGTTGAACCTGTCGCCCAGGTAGCCGAAGATGGGTGCCGCCACCATGAAGCTGCAGATGAAGACTGTCAGGGGAGACAGAAAAGGAAAGATCAGTGGAGACCCTCGGAAGGTGCAAGCCCTACATGCAGCCCCTCCATCCGGCATTGCATCCATTTCAGGCGGGACTTGCGCTCACAGACACCTGCCCAGGTGACTTCTGACAAGGGCTGTGAGGCCGCACCCCTGCAATGTCACTGGGAAAGAAAGGTGGTCTGTGAGTATGAGGGGAAGGGAGGAAGGAAGGAAGAAAGGAAGGAAGGAAGGAAGGAGAAAAAGAAGGGAAAGAAAGGGGGAAAGAACAAAGGGAGGGAGAGGGAAGAAAGAAAAAGGAGGGAGGGAAAGGGAAGAAAGAAAGAGAAAAAGAAGGTAAAGAGAAGAAATAAGGAACAAAGGGAGGGAAGGAAGGGGAAGAAAGAGAATGGTATGGTATGGAAAAAAAATGAGGAAAGGAAAGAAGGAAGGAAGGAAAGAGAAAAAGAAGGGAAATAAGGAAGAAAAGGAACAAAGGGAGACGGAGAAAGAAGAATGAGGGAAGGACAGAAAGAAGAAAAGAGAAAAAGAAGGGAAAGAAAGGGAAGTAAAAGGAACAAAGTGAAGGGAGAAAGAAGAATGAGGGAGGGAAGGAAGGAAGGAAAGAAGGAAAGAAAGAGAAAAAGAAAGGTAAGGAAGGGAAAGGAAAAGGAACAAAGGGAGGGGAGAAAAAGGAATGAGGGAAGGAAGGAAGGAGAAAAAGAAGGGAAAGAAAGAGAAGGAAAAGGAACAAAGTGAGGGAGAGAAAGAAGAATGAGGGAAGGACGGAAGGAAGGAAGAAAAGGAAAAGAAAAAGAAGGGAAAGAAAAGGAAAGAAACAAAGGGAGGGAGAGAAAGAAGAATGAGGGAAGGATGGATGGAAGGAAGGAAGGAAGGAGAAAAAGAAGGGAAAGAAAGAAGGAAAAGGAACAAAGAGAGGGGGAGAAAGAAGAATGAGAGAAGGAAGGAAGGAAGGAAGGAAAGAAAGAAAAAGAAGGAAAAGAAAGAGAAGGAAAAGGAACAAAGGGAGGGGGAGAAAAAAGAATGAGAGAAGGACGGAAGGAAGGAAGGAAGGAAAGAAAAAGAAGGGAAAGAAAGAGAAGGAAAAGGAACAAAGGGAGGGGGAGAAAGAAGAATGAGAGAAGGAAGGAAGGATGGAGAAAAAGAAGGGAAAGAAAGGAAAGGAAAAGGAACAAAGGGAAGGGGAGAAAGAAGAGTGAGGGAAGGACGGAAGGAAGGAAGGAAGGAAGGAAGGAAGGAAGGAAGGAAGGAAGGAGAAAAAGAAGGTAAAGAAAGAGAAGGAAAAGGAACAAAGGGAAGGGGAGAAACAAGAATGAGGGAAGGATGGAAGAAAGGAAGGCAGGAAAGAGAGAGAGAGAAAGAAGGGAAAGAAAGGAAAGGAGAAGGAAAGCAAGCGGACTGTGTTCGTACACAAGTTTCTAAATGAAAAAGGGAAGTGACAACTCACTTCTCCCAGAGCCAGAGCTTCTATAAGAGCCAATCTCATACCTCAACAATAACCAGATAATTTCTCTTCTATTCTACCTTCAATTTTTTCCCTATCGACTGAAACAGGCGCTGTGTTTTGTCACCCAGTATATGGTCTTAAGCATGGCTATTTTTCCTTCTGAAGATGGGAAAAGCGGGGAGAGAGAACAAAGGAGGAGATGCAGATGGCGGAGAAGCGCAGCCAAACGCGTTCGGAGGCGCCTCTCATTGCACGCGGCATCGAGACACATAGAACACTATCTAACACGATTTCTGTCGCTGGGTTATCAATATCATTTCCTAATTGGTTGAAGAAAGTGTATTAAACTGTAGGAACTTCTGCATGGCAAGGGGTTGGACTGGATCCGGCCCCTTCCCGGTCTACATATAGACGTGTAGTTTGCTTCTCTTCCCAAATCGCAACCTGGTTAAACAATTCCTCTGCTCCCATTTCAATTCCAAGCAGGTAAGCTGTTGTCGGATTGTTGTTTTCCCTTCGCTGTCAAGAACATATCCAGTGGCCTTCCAATTTTGCTGCGGCAAGAGGCGAGTTGCCGGGTGAATGGCAATCTCCGTGCGCAGCAGATGCGCATGGGCAGCAGAGCGTGAAGGGAGAAGCGTGTCTGGGCCTGGGAAGGCGAACCCTTTCCCCCCGTCCACAGACAGCCCCCGAAACCGAGAGAGAGAGAGAGAGAGAGAGAAGCCATTAGACAAGGCGAGACAGAGGCCCACCTGTCTCAGGGCGGGTCAGAGGCAGAAATAGACCCAGGGCCATCCATCCGGTTCTGGGCAAGGAAGCCTTTCCTGTGTTCGCAACACAAAGGTATAATTTCCCCCCCGCTCTTTGTTCCAAAATAGCATACAGATCCATTTCTGGTTGAGGGATGGATCCGCCTGAACACTGCCTACATTCATCCCAACAGGCCTGCAGCTGATCCTTTCTATCTATACGCTGCCCTCTTCTGGCTGCACCTGAACACTGCATGCATTCATCCCTAGAGGCCTGGAGCTGATCCTTTCTATCTATACACTGCCCTCTTTTGGCTGCACCTGAACACTGCATGCCTTCATCCCTAGAGGTCTGGAGCTGATCCTTTCTATCTATACGCTGCCATCTTTTGGCTGCATTTGAGCACTGTATACATTTATCCATAGAGGCTAACAGCTAATCCTGTCTATCTATACACTGCCCTCTCCTGGCTGCACCTGAACACTGCATACATTCATCCCTAGAGACCTGGAGCTGATCCTTTCTATCTATACGCTGCCCTCTTTTGGCTGCACCTGAGCACTGCATACATTCATCCCTAGAGGCCTGGAGCTGATCCTTTCTATCTATAGGCTGCCCTCTTTTGGCTGCACCTGAGCACTGCATACATTCATCCCTAGAGGCCTGGAGCTGATCCTTTCTATCTATACGCTGCCCTCTTTTGGCTGCACCTGAGCACTGCATACATTCATCCCTAGAGACCTGGAGCTGATCCTTTCTATCTATACGCTGCCATCCTTTGGCTGCATCTGAGCACTGTATACATTCATCCATAGAGGCCTGGAGCTGATCCTTTCTATCTATAGACTGCCCTCTTGTGGCTGTATCTGAGCACTGCTTATTAATCCCTAGAGGAAAGGAACTAATCCTTTCTATCTATACGCTGCCCTCTTTTGACTGCACCTGAACACTGCATGCATTCATCCCTAGAGATCTGGAGCTGATCCTTTCTATCTCTACACTGCCATCTTTTGGCTGCATCTGAGCACTGCATACATTCATCCATAGAGGTTAAAGCTAATCCTTTCTATCCCATTGCCCTCTTGTAGCTGCATCTGAGCACTGAACACATAGATCGCTGGAGGCCTGGAGCTAATCCTTTCTATCTCTATATTGCCCTAGATGGGTAGATAGATAGATAAGATAGACAGATAGAATGACAAGTAGGTAGATAGCTTGATAGGTAGATAGATAAGATAGTTAGATAGGTAGGGAGGTAGACAGACAGGCAGGCAGGCAGGCAGGTAGCTAGATAAGGTAGATAGATAGATAGACAGACAGATAAGGTAGGCAGGTAATGTGTAAATTGCCCTGAGTCCCTTTGGGTGGTCTATAAATAATGATGTATCTTTATTATTATAGTTAGGTAGGTGATAGGTAGATAGATAAAGTAGGTAGATAAGTAGGTAAGTAGGTAGATGGGTATAGATATGTAGGTAGATAAATATGGTACGTAGGTTGATGGGTAGATAGATAAGTAGATAGATAGATAAGGTAGGTAGGTAGGTAGAGCGGCAGACAGATACATAAGGTAGGTAGTTGGGTAAGTAGGTAGATAGTAGATAGATACGTAGGTAGATAGATAAGGTAGGTAGGCAGGCAGGATAGATAAAGTAGATAGGTAGGTAGGTAGGTAGGTAGATGGTTAGATATATACGTAAGTAGATAGATAAGATAGGTAGGTAGGTAGGTAGACAGATAGATAAGCTAGGTAGGTAGATAGGTAGATGGGTAGATAGATACCTAGATAGATAGATTAGGTAGGTATGTAGGTAGGTAGGTAGGTGGGTAGATAGGTATGTAAGTAGCTAGATAATATAGGTAGGTAGGTAGGTAGATAGATAAGGTAGATGGGTAGTAGATATGTAAGTAATAGATAAGATAGGTAGGTAGATAGACAGATAGATAAGGTAGATAGGTAGGTAGATGGTTAGATAGATATGTAAGTAGATAGATAAGATAGGTAGGTAGATAGATAGATAAGGTAGATTGGTAGGTAGGTAGATGGGTAGATAGATATGTAAATAGATAGATAAGTTAGGTAGGTAGAGAGATAGATAGATAGATAAGGTAGGTAGGTAAAAAGGTAGAGAGGCAGACAGATACATAAGGTAGGTAGTTGGGTAAGTAGGTAGATAGTAGATAGATACGTAGGTAGATAGATAAGGTAGGTAGGCAGGCAGACAGATAGATAAAGTAGGTAGGTAGGTAGGTAGAGGGTTAGATAGATACATAAGTAGATAGATAAGGTAGGTAGGTAGGTAGGTAGGTAGGTAGATGGGTAGATAGATATGTAAGTAGATAGATAAGATAGGTAGGTAGGCAGATAGATAGATAGATAGATAGATAGATAGATAGATAGATAGATAGATAAGGTAGATTGGTAGGTATGTAGGTAGGTAGATGGGTAGATAGATACCTAGGTAAACTGATTAGATAGGTAGGTAGGTAGATGGTTAGACAGATACATAAGTAGATAGATAAGATAGGTAGGTAGAGAGATAGATAAGGTAGATGGGTAGTAGATATGTAAGTAGGTAGATAGGGTAGGTAGGTAGGTAGAGAGATAGATAAGGTAGCTAGGTAGGTAGGTAGATGGGTAGATAGATATGTAGGTAGCTAGATTAGGTAGGTAGGTAGACAGAGAGATAAATAAGGTAGATAGGTAGGTAAGTAGGTAGGTAGATGGGTAGATAGATACCTAGGTAAATAGATTAGGTAGATAAGTAAGTAGGTAGATAGGTAGATAGATAGATAGATAGRTAGGTAGGTAGGTAGGTAGATAGATAGATAAAGTAGATTGGTAGGTAGGTAGATGGGTAGATAGATATGTAGGTAGCTAGATTAGGTAGGTAGGTAGGTAGACAGAGAGATAGATAAGGTAGATAGGTAGGTAAGTAGGTAGGTAGATGGATTGCTCCACTAGATAGATACCTAGGTAAATAGATTAGGTAGATAAGTAAGTAGGTAGATAGGTAGATAGATAGATAGACAGATAGATAGACAGATAAGGTAGGCAGGTATGCAGATAGATAGAGAGATATTAAGCCACTATAGCTATATAGTATAGAGACGCTATATAGCTGCTGACAAGGGCCTAAGACCTAATGGCCTAAGAGGGGGCAAAAGGTGTGCGTCCCTGCAAGATCTTTTGCCGAAAGGAGGAGGCTATCATCTTCCACTCGGCCGTCCTCCTCCTTGGAGAGTGTGAGTAATCCTACCAAAGGGCACTTCTGGGAAATGCTCCACTTTGAGCAGGCGGGTGGGGAGCGCCTTAAAAATAGCAGGCAAGGGTTTTTGTGTTTTTTTTCCCCCATTGCAAAATGAACCCAAAGGTACAGCTCAGACACTCAGCCGTCTCTTTCCTTTCTTTTGCCTTCAAGGGCTGCACCAGGCAGGGCGCACTGCAGCAGCCTATCTGTTTTTATATACAGTTACACAGAAAGAATAAAATACGCATAGATGATATTAATTATTATATTATTGCAATATTAGTCATAATAATTAATAATATCACATGATTATTCGTAATATTCTTAGTGGTGTTCCCGATTTACTGCCTTGATTGGCTCTCTATTCAAGCCCAGATGGTGCCCTTTCGATGCACCGAGCACATGTCGGGAATAGGAAGGATGCGTTTCTCATCAGGGGATGCCAACTGGCATACGGGCACATCAGGGGCACATCACGAACGCATGCTGTTCTTTAGCTGAATGGGACTAGCTGTTGTTGTTGTTTGGGGGGGAGGATAACTTCGAGCATTTTGTGACCTATTCTCAGGAAGTTTGTGAACCGAGGCTGGATGGCCATCTGCTGGGAGGGCTTTGATTGTGTTTTCTTGCCTGGCAGAAGAATGTAGGACTGGAAGGCCATTGGGAGTCTCTTCCAACTCTTCTATGAGTCTTCACAGTTTGGATGTCCATCTGTCGGGAGGGATCGGACTGTGTCCTTCTTACTGGGCAGAAAGGGGGTTGGACTAGATGGTCCTTGGGGTCTCTTTCAACTCTAGGATCCTATTATTATTATTATTACTACTACTACTACTACTACTACTACTATGAGCAGAGCTTGGATGGCCATCTGTCGGGAGGGTTTGATGGTGTCTTCCTACATGACAGAAAGGAGGTTGGACTAAATGGCCCTTGGGGCCTCTTCCAACTCTAGGATCCTATTATTATTATTATTATTATTATTATTATTATTATTATTATTATTAGCAGAGCTTGGATGGCCATCTGTTGGGAGGGATTGGATGGTGTCTTTCTACATGACAGATAGGGTTGGACTAGATGGCCCTTGGGGTCTCTTCCAACTCTGGGATCCTATTATTATTATTATTAATATTAATATTATCAATATTATGATTATTATTTGCAGAGCTGGGATGGCCATCTGTCAGGGGGGGTTGGATGGTGTCTTTCTACATGACAGATAGGGGATGGACTAGATGGCCTTTGGTCTTTATTCCAACTCTGGGATCCTATTATTATTAATATTATTATCAATATTATTACTGTTATTAGCAGAGCTTGGATGGCCATCTGTCGGGAGGGATTGGATGGTGTCTTTCTACATGACAGATAGGGGTTGGATTAGATGGCCCTTGGGGTCTCTTCCAACTCTAGGTTCCTATTATTATTATTATTATTATTATTATTATTATTATTATTAGTGTTACTACTACTAGGATCCTATTGTTATTATTACTATTATTATTATTACTATTATTATTAACGGAGCTTGGGTGGCCATCTGTTGGGAAGGATTGGATGGTGCCTTCCTACATGATAGACAGGGCTTGGACTAGATGGACCTTGGGGTCTCTTCCAACTCTAGGATCCTATTATTATTATTATTATTATTATTATTATTATTATTATTATTATTATTATTATTATTATTATTATTTCTATTATTATTATTATTATTATTAGCAGAGCTTGGATGGCCATCTGTCAGGAGGGATTGGATGGTGTCTTCCTACATGGCAGAAAGAAAGGGGTTGGACTAGATGGCCCTTGGGCCATCTATGATATCTATGATGTCTACAAATCCATATCTATGATATGGATTTGTCTCGCCGAGGCTGAATGGCCATCTGTCGGGGGGGATCGGATCAGATCTGTCCCTGTGCTCCCCTTTTGGAGGATGCTGCACATCCAAACACGCAGCCGTTCTAATTGTCGCTCGTTCCAAACGACAAATCCCAGGCCGAGCGGGAGCCGAACAAGGGCAGAAAGCATTAGAAAAGGCGCATTTCCCCACCGGCTGAGATTTAGAACAAAGCCGCCGCCAGCAAGGTCAGCGCAACCTTGGCTGCGGGAGGGATGCGCCGCGCTCGCTCACTCGGAGAAAGGGAAGAGCTGCCCACCGCCGCTCTCTTCGTTCCTCTCACCTGTCTGCAGGAGGCCGGCCCCGCTGTCCTTGACCCCGAAATGCTGCTGGATGTCCAGCAAGACCCCTGCAAGAGACGAGAAGGAGAGGCATCAGAGGGCAAAAGGCAGATTGATTGACAGGGCAGCCATAATAATAATAATAATAATAATAATAATAATAATAATAATAATAATAATATATCATCATCAATATGAGCATTGTCGTCATTGTTATTATTCATTAGTATTCATATCAATATCATCATTGACCTCGCAACTTCTGAGGATGCCTGCCATAGATGTGGGTGAAATGTCAGGAGAGAATGCTGCCGGCCAGAAAACTCACAGCAACCCAGCGATTCCGGCCATGAAAGCCTTCGACAATACAATACAATCATAATCATTATTATCATTAGCATCATTATCATTATCAATACAATGATTATCATTTTATTTATTTTTATTTATTTGTAATTATTATCATTTTATTATAATTGCTATTATTATGATCATGTTTATCATCATCATTATCAATATAATTATTATCATTTTAGTTATTATTATTTATATGCAATTATCATTTTATTATAATTGTTATTATTATCATGTTTATTACCATAATTATCACTTTATTACTTATTTATTATTTTATTTTTATTTATTTATAATTATTATCATTTTATTGTAAATGTTATTATTATCATGTTTATTATCATCATTATCACTTTATTATTTATTTATTATTTATTATTTTTTATTTATAATTATCATCATTTTATTATAATTATTATTATTATTATAATCATGTTTATTATCATCATCATTACCACTTTATTATTTATTTATAATTATTATTATTATTGTTATATTTATTGTAATTATCATTTTTATTATCATCATTATTATCATTTTATCATTGGCATTATTATCAGCATTGTCATTATTGTCATTGTTATCATCATTATTAATTATATTATGATTAATACTCTTATTGTTTTATTATTAGCATTAGTACGATCATCATCATTAGATCATCACCATTACTAACAATATTATAATTCTCATCATCATTACCATGATCATCATCATGATCAATATTATCAATACTACAATTATCATCATCAGCCTTATCGTTATTATCATTATCATCATCATTTTTAATATTATTATTAACTGATGTAGGCCAGGAAGGGACTTGATCCAGGTCCAGCCCCTTCTCGTACAGAAGGACACCATCCGATCCCTCTTGACAGATGGCCAACCAGTCTCTATTATTATTATTATTAGTAGTAGTAGTAGTAGCAGTAGTACTATTAGTATTATTCGTATTATTATTATTATTATTAAATGATGTAGGCCAGGAAGGGTCTTAGGCCCCAGTCCAACCTCTTACCACACAGAAGGACACCATCCGATCCCTCCTGACAAATGGCCAACCAGCCTCTATTATTATTATTATTATTAGTAGTAGTAGTAGTAGTAGCAGTAATATTAACTGATATATGCCGAGAAGGGACGATACTACTACTACTACTACTACTAGTAGTAGTAGTAGTAGTAATATTAACTGATGTAGGCCGGGAAGGGACTTGATACTACTACTATTATTATTGGGAGTAGTAGTAGTAATATTAACTGATGTAAGCCAGGAAGGGACAATATTATTATCATTAGTAGTAGTAGCAGTAGTAGTAATATTAACTGATGTAGGTCGGGAAGGGACTTGATACTACTATTATTATTAGTAGTAGTAGCAGTAGCAGTAGTAGTAATATTAACTGATGTTGGCTGGGAAGGGACTTGATACTACTACTATTATTATTGGGAGTAGTAGTAGTAATATTAACTGATGTAAGCCAGGAAGGGACAATATTATTATCATTAGTAGCAGTAGTAGTAGTAGTAGTAGTAGCAGCAGCAGCAGTAGTAGTAATATTAACTGATATAGGCCGGGAAGGGACTTGATACTACTACTACTAGTAGTAGTAATATTAACTGATGTAGGCCAGGAAGGGACTTAATACAATCCAACCTCTTGCCATGTAGAAGGACACTATCCGATCCCTCCTGACAGATGGCCAACCAGCGTCTATTATTATTATTATTATTAGTAGTAGTAGTAGTAATGTTAACTGATGTAGGCCAGGAAGGGACTTGATCCAATCCAACCCCTTGCCATGGAGAAGGACACCATCCGATCCTTCCCAACAGATGGCCAAGCAGCGTCTATTATTACTACTATTATTATTAATGAGTACTATTCCTATTATTATTAGTGGATGTAGGCCAGGAAGGGCCTTGACCCACTTCCTATGAATAGCCCTGGGAACGGGCTTTGCTCACGGGAATGACACGCAAGGCATGTCCTCCCGAGAGCAGACATACCTGGCGCAACAACACGGAAGGCAAAACAACCCCGGGTGGCGGATCCGGGAGCCAATTATACTCATCAGAACATTCATCAGCATGTCACAAGGGGCCAACGCCCGTTTCCATGAGAAGTGGCCTTGCGACACACATGCACACATGCACAATGCTGCCGCCGCCGCTTAATTGCAATCCTCATGCATTTATTTATGGCATGGTTGTGCACACGCAGGCTTCCCATGGAACCGGCCAGGATGCCTGGCTCCAGCTCTCAATTCAAAGCATGGATTCAAAGCATGGGTTGCGGCAACACTCCCAACACGCAAGCACAGCATCCCAGAGTGGAAAGGGAACCCCAAAGGCCATCCAGTCCAACCCCCTTCTGCCTTAAAATACACCATTCGATCCCTCCCGACAGATGGCCATCAAGCCTCCATTCAAAATGCATATTACAGAATCCTAGAGTTGGAAGGGACTCCCAAGGGCCATCCAGTCCAACCCCCCTTCTGCCTTAAAAGGCACAATTCGATCCCTCCCGACAGATAACCATCAAGGTTCTGTTCAAAATGCATGTTACAGAATCCTAGATTTGGAAGGGATCCCCAAGGGCCATCCAGTCTAACCCCCCTTCTGCCTTAACAGATACCATTCGATCCATTCCGACAGATGGCCAACTAGTTCAAAAATACATATAGAGTCCCAGAGTTGGAAGCTGCCCCAAGGGCCATCCAGTCCAACCCCGCTTCTGTCGTAAAAGACACCATTCAATCCCTCCCGACAGATGGCCATCAAGGTTCTATTCAAGATGCATATTATAGTATCCTAGAGTTGGAAGGGACCCCCAAGGGCCATCCAGTCCAACCCCCTTCTGCCGTAAAAGACACCATTCGATCCCTCCCGACAGATGGCCATCAAGGTTCTATTTAAAATGCATGTTACAGAATCCTAGAGTTGGAAGAGACCCCAAGGGACATCCAGTCCAATCCCCCTCTGTCTTTAAAGACACCATTCGATCCCTCCCAACAGATGGCCAACCAGTTAAAAAATAAATATAGAGTCCCAGAGTTGGAAGTTACCCCAAGGGCCAAAGAGTCCAACCTCCTTCTGCCATAAAAGACACCATTCAATCCTTCCTGATAGATAGCCATCCAGACCAAAATATCATAGAACAAAGCAGGATATACAGAATAATAATAATAATAATAATAATAATAATAATAATAATAATAATACAATGTAGATGTACCCTAAGAGTCACCAAATCACTCTAGGGCATCATTGCTGTTGAGATGTCCTATTCTTGAGATCAAAGGGGTATCAAACTGCATTAATTCCACAGTGTAGACGCACCCAAAGAGCCACCCAACCCCACTGGTTTTCAATAGCAACCTGCAAAATATACGCTGAGCGAGATCCTTCCTGCTTTCCCAGCCCTGACAGAAACTGCCAGAGGGAGGAATGAGCCCGGCATCATTTGCATCTCATCTGCATATTCCGAGAGAACCGGACGAGCATGGCCTGCTGCTGCTCTTTCCAGGCTTTCAGATCAGAAATCCCTGGGTGCATTTGCGCTCTTGAATGCATGCACTTTTACCCAGGTTGAACTGCCCAGGATGATGGGAGTTGTAGTCCACCCCTGCCCAAAGGCTCGTGTGTACCCGACATCCGGAGTGGCGTGTGTATTTCTAATGGGACCATTCACAAAACCCCAAAACGAAACCATGACTTATCATTACGAAATATCTAACTCAGGCATCGCTGGGGACGGCCTGTGTAAGTGTAATATTATTATATTATTATATTAATAATATTATAATAATATTATAATATTATAATAATAATATTATAATACTAATAATATATAATATAAGATGCCTCTCACTTCTATATATATATATATCTCCTGTATGTGTGTATGTATATGTATATATGCATGTGTGTGTATATATGTGTATATACAGGAGCAAATATTTCTCCAAATCGAAACTGGCCACCAAGGAATCCTGACGCAAGGCAGGCGATCCAAGTGATCTCTCCCCTGAAGGCAAGAAACCAGCTTGGATTGGGATTCCCACTGGTTCAGAAAGCGACTTACTGGGACTTACTGGGGAAAGGTATGAGGGGAGGAAAGGAAGGAAAGAGAAAGGAAGAGTAGCAAGAAGTGATAAAGAAGGGAGGGAAAGGAAGAAAAGAGGAAAAGGGGAGGAAGGAGGAAGGAAAGGAAGGAAGGAAGGAAGGATGAAGAGGAAGGAGAAGGAAGGAAGGAGGAGAGGGAAGGAGAAGGAAGGAAGAAGGAAAGAAGGAAGGAGGGAGAGAAGGAAGGAAAGAAGGAAGGAAGGAGGAAGGAAAAAGAGAAAAAGAAGGAAGGAAGGAGAGAGGGAAGGAGGGAGAAGAAAAGAGGAAAGGAAGGAAAGAGAGAAGGTAAGAAGAAAGCAAAGGAAGGAAGGAAGGAAGGAAGGAAGGAGGAAGGAAGGAAGAGAAGGAAGGAAAGGAAGGAAGGAAGAGGGAGGAAGGGAAGAGAGGGAGAGAGGAAAGGAGGGAGGAAAGAGGGAAGGAAGAAGGAGAGAGAAGGAAGGAAGAGAAGAAGAGGAGAAAGAAGGAAGGAAGGAGGAAGGAGGAAGGAAGGAAGTAGAAATAGGGACAGAGGTAAGGAAAGGAAAGAAGGAAAGAAAGAAGAAAGGAGAGAAAGAAGGGGAAGGGAGAAGAGGAAGAAAAGAAA